TGGATTCTGTATGGACTGGCAACAGGATATTTAAAAGTTAGCCAGAAAATTCTTTCAGGAAATTGGGATGGAAACCATACTCAAGTTCACAGTTTTCTTTTTTAACTTTTTGTTACCACCTGTAGATATTTAAGGCTATTCACCTAAGCTCTCCTTTCATACATGTGTGAGTAAGGAGGACAAGATGGTTTTATTTATTTAAAAAAAATGCCTAAGTGCCTTTCTATAATGTAAGTGGGCAGTAATACTCACATACACTAGAGATAAAGCAGTAAATAAAATATCACCTGGACAACGAGACAAAGGCAGAAAAGAGGAACAAAAACCAAAGCTGATAGTTACGCTCAGCATAAGTTAGTCAGTTGTTCTGTTTACCTGAACAATGGCTTCCAGATCATCCACAAAGCTATTCACTTCTGATAGAAGTAGTGATATAATAGACTTTCTCAATGAGCTGCAACTTCCTAGGGTTACCAGACTCTGGGAGACATAACGTTGCACCTGAAACTAAGGATAAAAATGAGTAAGTTTCTATTTTCTACCAAGTCACAAGTGTATTTATTGGACATTTTCAAAGACTTTGCTACTAAGATAAACGCTGCAGGGAATACAAAGAATGTTAACATAATTCTTGGTTAGTTTTGAGTAAAACTGTAAAATATACACATTATAACAATAGGTACTATGATTTTATGTAGCCATTAAAGTTGAAATATATATGACAGGTGCTAAAATGGAAGTTTCAGCTGAGCTGTCAGATGGTAGCAGTTTAGGATAGATGAGAGACTATACGCAAAACAAATAAGGAAAATATTCAAAACAGATTTTTAAAACTTTAAAGAAGACAGGAAGACACACAGACATATAAATAAGTAGATTTAAAAGGTGATAGGAGAACTTTAATGTCTTTGGAAGCTAAGGGTCTTCTTACCTATGTGCCCCAAGTCAAGCTTTATAAAGATGAGAAAAAAAATACATGGACGTCCAAGTTCTTCTGTAGGTCTTCTTTGTCAGTACTTTAAATTATTTTTTACACTTAACTTATTGTGTGTATATGTGCATGTACTGTGGTGTATGTGTGGAGGTCAGGGGACAACTTGCAAGAGTTGGATCTCCTCTTGCACTATATGGGTCCTGGGATCCTTGCCAACCCATCACCATTAAGTAAATTTAACGTGACAGCAGGACACAACAGAGTGCATCTCAGTTATTAGGAATAAAGCTATTGGATTATAAGCCACACTGTGATATGTTAAAATTCATGGCTAGAATTTTATGCAATTTGTCATTTAATGTACCTGGGAAAAAAAAGGGACTTAAAACACAGAAATTCCATAGGCCTCCACTGCTTTCCAAGAATTTAAATTGTACTGCAGACACATTTTTTCAGTGCTAAGTATTCCAGACAAAATGAAGAAATGCTACCTCTGTGTCCTTTAGGATGATCATATACCTCCAGTTAATCTTCAAGTTGATATTTTAATAGTATGTATTCATTTTAAAAGTTACCCAGTAACAATAGTAATGAATAGATTATAAAGTTTATGGAAAACATGCATTACCAACCTAGACATAGGTTCTTCATAAGAAGCCTAAGCCAACTTAAAGTTGGAAATATATTATCATAGGAAAACAGATATTTGTTTGTAATTGTTTATTAATACTGAAATTGGCTGTCATTCAGATCTTTTATAACCTATAGTGCTATAGATAAGATTAAAGTTTTTACAGAATTTTTGTTTTTATAATTAAAGGAAAACATTCCCTTATTTAAACTCTACAATATTTCAGAGAATTATTTTAACTGATAATTTCATTGTGTACTTACCTCCTTTCTCTACATTTAATTCTTTACTTGGTAAGTTTAAGTAAAGAAAAAGTTCACAGAAAAATAAAGGACTTTAGAGTGATTGTAAAATGCTGACGGTTGGGATGAGGTTAGGGTTAGAGAGTCTAACACCATCTGATTCAAATCTTAGATTTACTGCTTCAGAACTTGTACTAGCAACTTATTTCTTTAGCCTTTTAGCTATGTTATAGCTTGCATACCTGCGAAATGACAACTTGGATAGTAACTACTTAGTAGAACTGTTACGCACATTGTTACACAGTGAAAATGCTCAACATAGTGTTAGGCACCTAATACAGTGCTCAATAAGCAATAAAATGCTGTCATTCGGGACTATACTATAAAAGCATCGAAGGTTATATGATATTAATTTAATTTATTAGCCCTTGAAAAGGTAAGTACTATGAATAAACTTTTTGTAGAGTTAATGTAATTCTGTTAGAGAATGATACTGAGAACCTAAGAAAATGTCAGAATAAACAACTCATCTATAGCATAGCAAAGAATTATTATTGTCTCCCCAACACAACTGACACTCATACAAAAAGCTATGTAACCTTTAATGTTTAAAACTCTGTGTTATTGTAAACTGACCTCTATGTATCCCTACATTTTAATGAACTCTTGTTGTTTGAAATATACAATGGAACTTTTAAGTGACTGATATGGAGGCCAGAATTATCAGCAATATCCTATGTTAATAGCTAGCTGTGAAAGAAGGACAGGACTGGCTCAGTACCAAAACCAACATTTTTCTACCACATCTTCCTGTGCTACAGGAGCCTAGAGAGCTAGAAATTAATTTTCCCCCAACACCTGTGCAGTGAGGATTTTAGATATGAGCTGAGTTCTGCTGATGAGAAACGCTCACCAAGCCACTGAATGAGAAGTATGTAATAGCATAAGAGAAGTGGGTGCCAGTTGTGCCTTCTGCTCACATGTTAGAGCTGACAAGGATCTGCCTCAGCAGTCATTCAGAAGCTATCCATTCACACAGGTTCCTAATCACTGCAGAAGAAGCATTCCTTGGTGATCGTACGGCTCAGAGTCTTCCTTGAAACTCAGCTGTCCCAAAGGCACCTTACTCTGTATGTTCATCTGGGGATTCCAGGGTTCAGTGCCACATTAACATCTGGAACTATGCAATGTGGGAATTCCTACCACATGCCGCACTAATTCCCCATATGAACTCTGTAGAAGATGGAAGGATCTCCATGAATAGCCATGAATGACCACAAATTTAATGGAGTAGTGCTTTCCACTGCAGCGGTGTTGTTACAGAAGCAGGTCCTTTCTTGGAGGGATCAGCACTGCCCCGGATCCTCATTAGGCAGGTTTGTTCTGGACATTTTTCAGTGTCTTAATAGGCAGACAAAATGAAACAGGAAGCAATAGCTCACTTTCTCTCTCCTGTTTAAAGCTGAGCCAATCTTGATGTTAGTTTACAAAGACTGCACTCTTCCAAGTATTCCATGGCCCATCATGCTGGTGTATTGTACTTGTGCTATCAGGATGATACAGCAGACATTTTGAAGGTCCTACCAAGATAGAAGCATTCCAGAAAGTAGAACGTAAACCTCAGAATTCAGGAGCCTGAGATGTGGTAAGTTTCTGGATCTGGTTCATATTGTAAAACTCCCTCCAAAGTGTAACATAGTAGCTTTAGTATGCATTTTCTAGTGTCCAGTCTACAAAGAGGAGGGTCAACACAGAGGAATCATTTCCTCCATGCTTCCAAGCAAAGCAAACCAGGTTCAAGCAGGACCTTTGACTTATCTTCACATAGGCGGAACTAGTAAAAGAAAGGAGCTAGGGGCTCCTCCCAAGCCCATGTGACCCCTAAGGAACAGATCCTCAAACGACCTTAAGAGTAAAAATAAATTGGTTTATCTGGGCCAACTGTATGGCCTTAAACACCCAAAAGGAAAGTATAACCAAAGATTAAAGGGGCCAATATAATTTTTTAAGAGTCCATATGCATAGCTTAAAGGCTACATAACAACAATGCCAGATAGAAGATACTTTCTTTTGAGTTGTTGGTCAGGGTGGCCAAAAGGACTCTCAGATAATAACCCAGCATAGAACTGGGAAAATGAACAGCAGACCCCAATCTTATCTAAAGGAATATTGACAACTGATTGCTCCTAGATGAGGAACAGCTGACCTTCCTAAAACAAAGCCCTCTACATAGGCTGACTACATTCACCAGATGGACAAGTAGTGGGGAAGGGCTGGGGTGCCGACAACACAGCAGACATAGCAGGGATATCACAGTATAAGGGCTCTAGTGGGGGGAGGGAGTCTATGGGAGGGTGCTACCTGG